TGGAAAGGCCTTTAAAGATCATTTTTCTGTTCAAATATTGAACTTCTCCTAAGGACAGAGTGGGGTGGTCTGGGTGAGAAAGTGCTGATTGGTCAGAGGTTGGGCTTAATGAGTTTGGAGGTCTTTTGCAGAGATTTGATGTAATTAATTCTGTGTTCCTGACCTTGTTGTGTCTTGGCAATAAATTTTCCCAGCTTCCAGAGGTCAAGCACTGCCCCTTCCCAGCAGGAAAAGGATGGAAGAGCTCAGGGATGGGAAGAGGTGTGACATAACCCTCCAAACATGAGCTGTGATGGGAAGGGATCTGTCTGAGCACATCCATATGGAATGGCAGAGTGATTTATAGCCATGGAAAATTTCATCCTATCCCACTTATCTACAGCTTTTCCAAACTGGGAAGCGGAGCTGCACCAGTGTCCAATGAAAACAAGCTCAGCTCAAGGGTTATCAAATTGCTTCTGAAGGAGTGGGGGCTCCCTGTGGGGCAGAGCTGAGCCAGCCAGGCCAGATTTGGGCAAAACGTCCCCAGGCAGGGCCCTGTCACCCTGGGGTCACCGGTGGATTTCCACCCCTGGTTTTCCATGCTCCCAGCACTTCCCAGCCCCAGGGCATTTGCACCAAAGGGGCTTTAAGTCTTTCTAAATTATGAGGAAAGGCTGGGGGAATTTGGATTGTTCAGAAGTTTTGGGGTGACCTCATTGTGGCCTTCCAGTGCCTGAAGGAGCTACAGAAACACGGAGAGGGATTTGGGACAGGACACAGGGAATGGCTTCCCACTGGAAAATGGGAGATTTAGGTGCGGTGTAGGGAAGGAATCCCTGACTCTGAGGGTGGTGAGGGGCTGGGATGGAATTCCCAGAGGAGCTGTGGCTGCCCCTGGATACCTGGAAGTGCACAAGACCACCCTCAAAGTGAAGAAACTTTTCCCAATATCCAACTAAAGCTCCCCTGGCCCAGCTGCAGCTATTCCCTTGGATCGCAGGCACCAAAATCAGCCCTCACTGCTGTCAATCCATGGGCTGTGCACAGTCAGATCCATCTGGGAATCACAACCAGGGTGGGAATGCAGAATCCAACACCCAAGCTCGGTTTAGCACCTCCAGGCAGGCCTGTTTTAGTAAAGCCTGGTTTGAACAGCAGCTGAAGGACAAATTGACAAGTCTCTTCCCCGGGAATCCTGGTGGGATTGTGCTGGTTTTGCTCTGTCAGTGCAAAAGCTGATGGAGAGTCCTGACCACAGCAGAGCTCAGAGGAAATTCCAGCCCCCTCACCCCTCATTCCAAAGAGAAAACATCACTGGGACAAGCTCTGGGCTCCAGCAGGAACCCAGGAGCTCACAAATGATGATGTTTCCCCTGGCGAATGCAAGGAATGACCTGCAGAATTCCCAGGCGTGTTGGGAAGGGCAAAAACTTTCAAACTCGCCTTCACAGGAGTCTTTGGACTCCCCCTAGTTCAGGTTTGTGACCCCCTGGGTCTCCCTTCTCCTCGTTTTTGGCTCCATCTGTGTCCCACTGGCTGCTGAGGAGATAAAGCAAAGATAAGAGTGGCAAAACTCAGAGGGGGAAGGAGCTGGAACATTTGACAGCCAGTTGTGACTGCAAGGAGCTGCCACGATGGCATCCCAAACATTCCAACTCCTCACCTCCAGCCTTGGTCCTGCTGCAGGGAAAGCAGCAGGGATGGAGCCCTGCAGCTCCTGGATTTTATTTTGTAGGGAGAGAGGAAAAATCAGCTGGGTTTTGCAGAATGGAAGCAGTGGTGCTGTAGGAAGGTTCATGAAATTCAGGGAGAAACAGAATCCTGGAATTGTTTGGGAGAGAAATGAGCTCAGAATCATTTAGGGAGAGGCAGAATCCTGGAATGGTTTGGGTGGGAGAAGAACTTAAAATTATTCAGGGACATAATGAATCCTGGAATGATTTGAGTGGGAAAGGAGCTCAAAATCATCCAGTGCCACCCCTGCCATGGGCAGGGACAATTTCCAGGTTGCTCCAACCTGGTTTTGGACACTTCCAAAGATCCAGGGGCAGCCACAGCTTCTCTGGAATTCCATTCCAGCCCCTCCCCAACCTCACAGGGGAGGTTTTTAACCCTGATTTCTAATTTTAACCTGCTCACCTTAGTGCTCATTCAACCTTTCACTATTATACCACCATTACAACATTATCAAGAAGCTTAACGTCCTGTGATGATCAGAACCGACCAACCTAAGGAACACTTACTCTGGTCCAGTACTTACTCGCCGACAACACGTGCACAGGGGAGGTTTTTAACCCTGATTTCTAATTTTAACCTGCTCTCTGGGTCAGTTTGAGGCAGGCAGGTGATGAGCAGGGGCTGCAAGAGCCTCTGCCCAGGAAATGCAGCACTTCCACCCCAGTCAGAGCAGCTCCTTAAAAATAAATCCACTTCTCCCTTTTCCATCCCCTCCTCCTGCTGATGGATCCAGGCTTCTGCTCCAGGAATCACTTCAGTCTCATGATTCATCTGAAGTTTCAGCACCCCCAGAGCAGCAGGCGAGCTCATTCCCAATTATCCGAGGAGTTCCACTCATCCAGCCCCGGTGCTGAGCTCATGGAAAGGCAGAGCCCTCCAAAGCTTCCGTGACTAATTCCTGAAGCAGCTCGGGGTGAGGTGACCTCTGTCTAGACTAAAGCAGATTTTCTTCCAGGTGTTTTGAGGACTCTCTGTGGCTTCAGAGGAGCCAAAGCCACCCCTGGTGTTCCATGATCCCGCCTCATTCCCTGGGACACAAGGGAGCCATTGATGGAGCAGCTGGGGATGATCCCTCCCGAGGCAGGGGAAGCGAGGTCAGGGCGAGGAGAGGAATTGAATCCCTCAGATCCTGCAGCCCTTCCCTGCCTGCTCATCCCGTTTCAGCTCACGGACAAACCCAAGGATTCATCCCTGGGAACCCCACTGGGATGTGCAGCACATCCTGGGTTTTCCTGGATGCACAGAAGGAGCTCTGGAAAATACTTTCAGGCGTGTCTTTCCATAAATTTGGCCAAGGGCAGCCAGGGAATTGAGACAGTGAAAAATCCAAGAAAAGGGAGGTGCCTGAGGCACCACAAACTCCCCAAGCTGAGAAACTAAAGAAAAAAAAAAATCTCTTTTTTCCTCTTAGAAAAGCTCATCCCAGCTCCCTTCTAGCCCAGCATTCCCACATTTCTTTATCCTGCAGAAATCCCACCGGGATGTGCTCTGAGCCCTTTGGTTCTGTCATTGCCCCAAATCTCCCCCTCAGCCTCCCAGTCTGCCCCAGTGAGAGCCCAGAACCTTCCCCACGACTTCCTCACTCCCAGTCCTAATCCCACATTCCCACAAATATTCCCATATTTTTATCATGGCTTCTCCATCATTGCTCATCCAAACTACACAAAAATTTCTTTATATTTTCACTATAAATCCAGCGTGGCTGTAGGAATTATTCCACCCCAAATCCAACCCTTCCCGCTGCCCCCATTATCCCAGAGAGCTCCAAACTGGTCCCAGTGTTAAAAGAGGAGAGAAAATTCAGGATTTTTGTCCATTAGAACCAAAAAAGTCAGGAAGTTCTGTGAGAACAACACAGATTTTGTCTCTTTAAATTCATTCTTTGAAATATGAACAGAACAGGTTTCAATTTAGAAAGATTGATTGAGGAACTGGAATAATTTATAGTAAAAAAAATCTCTGATTATTTCAAATTCTTATTATTTATCTGATAATGTGAAAAAATATGTGGGATAAACTTGGGATAAATTGATAATTTATGTCAGTCCCAGCCATCCCAGTCCACAGGATGCTCCACATCAGCATTTTTACCCCATTTACCTCCACTTGATTAATCAAGGGCACATTTTGTCTCTAAATTCATCCTTTGAAACATGAAAAGAACAGATTTCAATTTTGAAAAACTGATTGGGGAACCAGAATAATTTATAGTAAAAAAGTTTCAAATTCTTATTGTTTATCTGACTGTCTGAAATTGGAACCTGAATTTTGCCTCTCCAGCCAGGAGCAGCCAAGAGTTTGTTTTAACCCTGGATTTGGGATCAATATGGGCTAAATATGGGATAAATTGATCATGTGAATAAATATGGGATAAACATGAGATAAATTCATAGTGGGAATAAATGTGGGATAAATATGGGATAAATTGATAACATGAATAAATAGGTGGGATAAATATGAGATAAATTGATCATGTGAATAAATATGGGATAAACATGAGATAAATTCATAGTGGGAATAAATGTGGGATAAATATGGGATAAATTGATAACATGAATAAATAGGTGGGATAAATATGAGATAAATTGATCATGTGAATAAATATGGGATAAACATGAGATAAATTCATAGTGGGAATAAATATGGAATAAATTGATCATGTGGATAAATATGTGAGATAAACATGAGGTAAATTCATAATGGGAATAAATGTGGGATAAATTCATCATGTGAATAAATATGGGATAAACAGATAAGGTGAATAAATATGGGAAAAGTTAATAATGTGGGATAAATATGGAAGAAATTGATAAGGTGAATAAATAGGTGGGATAAATACGGGATAAATTGATAAAGTGAATAAATATGGGATGAATTGATAATGGGAATAAATAGGTGAGATAAATATGGGATAAATTAATGATGTGGGATAAATACGGGATAAATTGATAATGTGGATAAATATGGGATAAGTTGGTAATGGGAATAAATGTAGGATAAATTGGTAAGGTGAATAAATATGGGATAAGTTGACAATGGGAATAAATATGGGATAAATTGATAATATGAATAAATATGTGATAAACATAGGATTGATATCATGAACAAATATGCAGGATAAACATGTGATAAATTAACAACTTCCATCACTTCCAACCATCCCTCTCCACAGGACGTTCTGGATCAAACATGCAGGATAAACATGTGATAAAACAACTTCCATCACTTCCAACCATCCCTCTCCACAGGACGTTCTGGATCACCATTTTTACCCCAATTACCTCAATTTGATTAATCAGGGAGTTGTCAAACTTGAAGCCTGGGATCCTCTTCTCGCTGCACACCACGCCCACGTCCTCGGTGTGTTTGCAGTCGCTCACGCCCCAGCCGTTGGAGCCGCAGGCGGCCAGGCTGCTCTCCTTGCCCGTGCAGTGCACGTTGTCCAGCCAGATTTTCCCTGGAAAAGGAGGAAAACACAGCTGAGATTCCAAGAGGAGGGATCTGGGCTGGATTCCCTGAGTCTGGAAGCTGGGTCTCACTCTCGGTGTGAAAATCAAGATGTGAAACCTTGGTGTGAAAATGAAGTGGCAACACCTCAAGGACTGGTGGATTGGGAAAAGCTCTGGGCCACGGCTTTTCCCATCCTTTATCCATTTGGGAATAAAGATCCACCTCCAGCCTGTGCTGCTCCAGGGATACCGATGAAAATTCTCAGTGGGAAAAATCAAGGTGCAAAAAATGAAAATGAATGAAACAGCACCTCAAGCAGTGCAGGTTGTCCAGTCAAATTTTCCCTGGAATGGGAAGAACCACAGCTGAGATTCCAAGAGGAGGGATCTGGGCTGGATTCCCTGAATCTGGATTCCAAGGAAGCAGCTGAGTCTCATTCTCAGTGTGAAAATCAAGGTGTGAAATCTTGGTGTGAAAATAAAGCATCACCTCAAGGACTGATGGACTGGGAAAAGCTCAGGCCCACGGATTTTCCTGTCCTTTATCCATTTGGGAATAAAATCCACCTCCAGCCTGTGCTGCCCCACGGATCAGTGGTGAAAATTCCAATTAAAATCCTGCCGTGCCCCAATTTTGTTGATTAGGCCCTGCCCTCCAATCACCCTCAAATCATTCCTGATTCATCAAATCCTCATTAAATGTGGTATTGCTTAAACCCTTAATAATGAGATTTTTAAATTTAATTTCTCAAACCATCATTGTTGCTTGGGGGTTCTTGGAAAATGGAAATTCCACCTCCAGGTTCCAGCTGGGAATTCCCATTTTTCCTGGGTGTGTGTTCACAGGCATATATATTATATTAAAAAATAGATATGATATATATCTCTAATATGTTAAAATATTAAATAAATTAATTCTATTTAAATTGCTAAACTATTAAAGAAATTAATTTATTTAAATGTTTATTAAAGGAACTTTAAATATTTATTTTAAATTTTAAAACATTAAATGAATATATTTATTCCATTATATATAATTGTATGTATTGGCATAATTATATATGCATTAAATAGTAAAGAAATATATTTATTTAAAATATTAAATCAATATTAATTTAATTGATATTAAATTAAGCAAATATATTAAACTATATATGATATAATATATTATATATGAATGTATTATAAATATTAATATATAATATAATATATATTAATCTTACAATTATATTATATTATTAGATTATTATTATATTTTATTAATATATATTTTAGTAATTAAATTCTCTATATTGACATGAAATATTAATATTAATAATCACTAATATGAAAGAAATATATTTATTTAAAATATTAAATCAATATTAATTTAATTGATATTAAATTAAGGAAATATATTAAACTATATATGATATATTATATATGAATGTATTATAAATATTAATATATAATATAATATATATGTTAAATTTATATCATGTCATGTTATGTTATGTTATATTATGTTATGTAATTTTAAAATTAATACTATAGTAAAAGAAATTAATAACTAATTATAAGTATGCTTTCATTGTAATATAATTTATCTATATTAAATTAGTATATTTAAATTTATTCAAACTATTAAAACAATAAATTAATATCAAAATCAGGCTCCCCTCAGAACCAGAGTGGGAGAAGCCCCCCAGCCCCGGATTTGGGATTTCCCTGGGAATTCTCCCTCCCTGTGACCCCGTGGCCAGCCCGGTTTGTTTTCCGCTGTCACGGCCTCTTCCTCGCTTGGAAATCTCCTGCTCCGCCTCCGGAGCCAAAATCCACAACTCCGCGAGCACATTCCAGCTTTGCAATTTCCCTCAGGCCCTGCTCGCCCTTTTACGGGACATTTATTGGTGTGAGCACTCAAAAACTGCTCAAATCCACCCAAACAGCACCTTCGGCCCTCCCGGGTGGAATTTATCCCTGTGGGATCCACCAGGCTCCAGGAGGGCAGGAAAAATCCTCAGCAGGACAAGATTCAATCCCAATAAATCCCAATAAATCCCTTGGGGTGGCTCTTATTACACAGATGTGTTGTTATTCCTGGATTATTTCAGAGTTTTCCCTCTCAGATTTGGTGATTTCAGGAATTCCCGGCTGTCACACACAAATATTCTCCTTTCCAAGGGTTTTCCCAGCAGATGTTTGGGATTCAGGTGGGATTTTCCACATTTCCACCAGGTGCAAGTTCAGAGGGCGGAAATGATGTGGAAAATGCATCCCCAGGAAAAGGGGAGTGGCTTTAAGGTGAAAGAGGGGAAATTTAATTGGGATTTTGGGAAGAAATTCCTCCCTGGGAGGGTGAGGAGGGGCTGGGACGGAATTCCCAGAGAAGCTGTGGCTGCCCCTGGATCCCTGGAAGAGCCCAAAGCCAGGTTGGAGCAGCCTGGGACAGTGGAAGGGGGGGAATTGGACGATTTTCAGCTCCTTTCCATCCCAAACCATTCCGTGATTCCATTAGATAAAATTTGGGATGAGGCTGAACAACCTTTCCCCACCAGGAGCAGCCTGAAGGCACTCAAAATGGTTATTCCCATATAATTGTTATTCCCATCTAACCCAACAATTGTTATTCCCATTTAACCCAAAAATTGTTATTCCCATATAATCCAATAACTGTTATTCCCATTTAACCCAATAATTGTATTCCCATATAATCCAATAATTTTTATTCCCATGTAACACAATAGTTGTTATTCCCATATAATCATTCCCATAGGATATGAAATGTTCAGACCCCTTTGGAGGCACAGACCAGATCATGACACAGAACTTTTCCCTAAAATCCAACCTAAATTCCCCCAGCTTTGGCTGGATCCTGTCCAGGGAACAATCAAAGCTGCCCCTGGGCAGGAGCAGATCCCAAAAAATCCCCCTTCAGTTTCCTCTTTTCTGAGTGCCCTCAGCTGCTCCAGACCCTTCCCCATCCCTGTGTCCATCCTTTGGATGCTCTCCAATATTTTCACGCCTTTTTTTACCACTGAGATCCCAAATCCACTCAGCACAGCATTAAACACCCCCAGCTCATCAATTAAACTGAAATTAGGGATTCCTGGGAGCTGGAGAGACTCCCCCAGTGCCCTGGGATCCCAATCCAAGGTCCCTCAGCTGCTCCAGACCCTTCTTCATCCCTGTGTCCATCCTTTGGATGCTTTCCAATAATTTCACTCATTTTTTACCGCACAGGGCACAGCATGAGAAAGGAACTTTCAAAACCATCAATTAAACTGAAATCAGAGATTATGGGGAACTGGAAAGGCCCTGGGATCCCAAACCAAGCTCCTTCAGCTGCTCCAGAGCCTTCCCCATCCCTGTGTCCATCCTTTGGATGCTTTCCAATGCTTTAGCATCTTTTTAATCTCACAGAGCACAGCACGAGAAACCAACACTCAAAACCATCAATGTGACTGATCATTGATGATCAATACCAAAAATCAGGGATTACTGGGAGATGGAAAGACTCTCTTTTTGAAGATCTCCTCACCTTCTCCTTTCCCATACTTGGAGCTGGCCAGCCAGGACACGGCCTCCACGTAGCCCAGCTCCCGGCATGAGAGAGAAACACTCCAAAACCATCAGTGAGACTGGAATCAGGGACTACTGGGAGATGGAAGGGCCCTCCCAATGCCCTGGGATCCTAATCCAAAGTCCTTCAGCTGCTCCAGGGCCTTCCCCATGCCTGTGTCCATCCTTTGGATGCTTTCCGATGCTTTAACATCTTTTTTACCTCACAGAGCACAGCATGACAAACCAACACTTAAAACTATCAATGAGACTGAAATCAGGGATTATTGGGAGACCCTCTATTCCAAGATCCCCTCACCTTCTCCTTTCCTGTACTTGGAGCTGGGCAGCCAAGACATGGCCTCCATGTATCCCAGCTCCTGGCATGAGAGAGAAACACCCCAACACCACCAATTAACTGAAATCAGGGATTATTAGAAGATTGAAAGGCCCTTTCCCTGCTCCAAGATCCCTTCACCATCTCCTTTCCATACTTGGAGATGGGCAGCCAGGACACGGCCTCCACGTAGCTCCCGGCACGAGAGAGAAACACCCCAGCACCACCAATTAAACTGAAATTAGGGATTATTAGAAGATGGAAAGACCCTTTCCCTGCTCCAGGGAGGGCAGCCAGGACACAGGCTCCACATAGCTCCCGGCACAAGAGAGAAACACCCCAGCACCGCCAATTAAACTGAAATCAGGGATTATTGGGAGATGGAAAGACCCTCTCCCTGCTCCAAGATCCCCTCACCTTCTCCTTTCCCGTACTTGGAGCTGGGCAGCCAGGACACGGCCTCCACGTAGCCCAGCTCCCGGCACACCACGTGGGCGGCGTGGATGGAGAAGTCGTCGTCGCACACGGTGCCCCACTCGCCGCTGTAGAACACCTCCACCCTGCCCTCGTTGTGCTTCCTCTTCTGCCCCGCCAGCCTCAGCTGGATTTTGGGCACATTTGGGGCTCTCGGGGGGGGCTGGAACACCTGGGGGGCTGGCTCGGGGTAGCCGGGCAGGTACGGCCAGTGCTCGTACTGGGCACAGCTCAGCTCGGCCAGCAGCAGCAGCAGCAGGCACTGGTTGGAGGGGAAAACTTGGGATCTTCCCATTGTCAGTGATCACAGTCCTCAGAGCCAGAGCCAGGCAGTGCAGGCAGGGCTGTCCTGGAAGAAAATCAGATTTTAATTGAAGTTTGTAGTGATACAAAATTGATATGATTTATATTAGTATAGTATTTCTATTATTTCATTAGTATTTATTTAAATATGTTAGTATTTATTTTATTGCTTGTTATTTATGATTTAATTTTTTATTTATTCATTATTATATTTATTATTTATATTATTAATTATTACTTCTATTATTATCTTGGAAATTTGGATTACCTCCAACACCCCTTGTGAAAACCAAAGTCGGGTCAATTATTTCTTGTGGGGTGGACAAACAAACTGAAACCTCCCCCATTTATAAGTTTAGATCGACTTGCCATGTAATTTCACCCCAAAAATACATTTTCCCCAGGTAAAATTCTCTAAGTTGGGAATTGCAGCAAATTATTTTCCTCTTTTCCTCCAGAAATCCAGCAGGAAAACTTCACCCAAATCCTGCCAGGACAGAGCTGAGCCATTTTTTCTCCCCATCAAGAATCCAAACCCATCACAAGCAGAGGAAAACCAGGAGGGTGAGGAAATCTCGTGGCCAGCAGTGAGGGATTTATCCCAAACTCTGGGTTTCCCATGGGATAAAAGATTTATTTCTGTTCCTGCACGTCTGGTTCCATCTGTAGAAACTCAAAACATCACCAGACACTTGGCAGAAGCCTTGGATGACCTTGGAATAGTGGAAAACATCTCCAGGTTTTGGTTGTAAGTCTGGATGGGGATTTATTGGCATCCAAGTGCTCCACGAGCACAATTTAAGGTAGGAACAGACAACTTCTCGTGACTCACGAGAGGAATTTCATCCAGGAACTGAATCCTGTGAAATCCTGTCCTTTTCCTGCTTCCCACTCACAGCCAGGCACATGGAGTGGTCAAGCAGGACACGTGGGGGTGAGGATTCCATCATTTCCGAGTGAAGAAATGCCAGAGCTCAGTGGGAAAATCCTCCCCAGGCCTTCAGAGCTCTGTTATTTCCTGGCAGCCACCGGAGGAGAGGAGAAAGGGGGAGGACTTGGCTCCAAAGGAGATGTCTAGGAACTAAAATTCTCTGAAATTTCAGCTAAATCTGGTCTATCCCTAAAAAAAAAAAAAAAAAAATCCCCAAAAAATCACATCCTCACATAAAGATACAAAATCCATGAACACCCTTTAAAGCTGAGGAGGATGTGGATCAGAATTCCAGGTAATTTCCAGGGCTGTGCCTCAGTTTCCCTGTGGGTTAAACAGGGATGGGGCTCAGGACATTCCTGCTGGAATGAAATGGATTTTCCTAAGGAAGGGAGAAGTGAAACAGGAGCACGGGGATTAAAGCTCAGGATTGGAGGGGAAACAGGAAAAGTGAGAGGAGGTTTCACAACAGATCTCATAAATCAGGATGGAGCGGGAAAATGAGGGGGGAAAAAATCTTGGAAAACAAACATTTGGTTTCCAGGAGCCAATTTTTTGTAGGTCAGGAGGTGAGGCTGAGAGAGAGGAATAAAATCAGGTCCTGCACCAGCTTGGGGATGGCAGGAGGGAAATGCAGCTGCTGCTCCCTCTGGCAGCCGGGAGAGGGGATTTTCCAGAGGGAATGCAGCTGGAGGGCAGGATCAGAGGGATCCCAGATCCAGGAGCTCCAGAAGGATCCAGGATCCCAGATCCAGGAGCTCCACAGGGATCCAGGAGCTCCAGAGTGATTCAGGATCCTAGATCCAGGAGCTCCACTTGGATCCGGGATCCCAGATCCAGGAGATTCACTGGGATCCAGGATCCCAGATCCAGGAGATTCACTGGGATCCAGGATCCCAGATCCAGGAGATTCACTGGGATCCAGGATCCCAGATCCAGGAGATTCACTGGGATCCAGGATCCCAGATCCAGGAGATTCACTGGGATCCAGGAGCCTCCAGAGTGATCCAGGATCCCAGATCCAGGAGCTCCCGTACCTGGACTGGTCCCAGCCATCAGCCCTGACCCCAAGCCCGGCAGCACCGGGCTCTGAACAAACCTCTGGAGATGTTTGAATGGGTGTGGGATGGGTTCAGCCCAGGGGACAAACAGGGGCTGGGAGATGCTCCTGGATGGAGAAAAAAATTCCAGGGATCCCCTTGGATCTCGGCAGGGAAGGACAGGTGGGAATTGTCGGTCCAAACTCCAGAGGGGAGGAGTTTCACCTCAGCAGAGCCTCGAGCTCTGCAGGAAAATCTGGGCTTCAGGTTTCATTTTTGAACATCTGGTTTGATCTGCTCCATACAGAAACATCTGTCTTGATTTGTTCCATCCCCAAATATTCTGTATTGATCTGTTCCATCCCTAAACAACATCTGTCGATCTGCTCCACCCCCAAACAGCTGTCTTGATCAGCCCCATCCCCAGTGGCTGCTGTTCCTTGCTGCTGCAGAAGCAGCATTTGCAAACCCTCAGCAAACCCTCCTCAAAAACAAAATTGGGCTGCAGAAGCTCTCCTGAAAAATTCAGCTGAGGAGGGTGATTTAACCCCAGACTCCCAGCGGGGTTTAGAAAGGGTCATTATTTGGGTTTCTAAAGGGTCATTATTTGGGTTTTTAAAGGGTCATTATTTGGGTTTCTAAAGGGTCATTAATTGGGTTTCTAAACGGTCATTAATTTGGTTTCTAAAGGGTCGTTAAAGCTTTCCCAGGACTGTCCCACACACTGAGAATGCAGAGCTCTGTTTATAAATATTTGTATTTCTATTTCTGGGAGCATCTGGATGGTCCTGCAGCCACGTGAGGGAAATTTGGGAAGGAAAAGGCAGATAAAGGGTGGAGCAACCTCCCAGTCAAACCCTGCAGCTGTCAGAGATAAGGCAGCACTTCAGCATCTTGACTAGAACATGAACAAATTCCCCTCTGGGTCAGTTTTGGTTTATTTCTGAGCCTCCAGAAAGCTCAATGTCAACTAAACCCGAATATTTGAGAGGAGAAAAGGCTCAACAAAGAGCCCAGAACCTGCCCCGTGCCAAGGCAAACAGGAACCCGTGTCAGCCCCGCTTTCGGGGGTCCCTCGGGATCAGGGAACAACTGCAAGCTGTGAACTCCCCCTCGAGCCCTTCCCCTGCTCAAACCCAACCTCTGCAGCCGCTTCAGGGAGGACTGGAGCCAAAAGACACAACAATTTGGGGAAACCGTGCGGAGCAGGGCTGGGGATGGCTCCCAGCCGCCGCGGAGGTGTTAATGAGCCGAGCCTGCCAGATGCCAGAGCCTTTCCAAGAATCCCGGCCCTGCGAGACCTCGGGAGCAGCTGGCAGGGAGGGGAAGGTCACGGCAGAGCTCCAGGTTGCTTTAATTGGGGCCAAGATTAGCCTGGGAGACACTAATTGGGATTAGAGCAGATCCAGGAGGTGGAACTTGTCCTCTTGGCAAAGCCCTGCTGAGCCGGGCTGCCCTGGAGCCCAAAATGGGTTTGCTGCTGTTCCCCAGGAATTTAGGGACCCACAAGGATCATCCAAGTCCTGCACAGGGAAAGGAGAAAACTCACAGAGCTGGAGAAATCCTGGTGGGAGAGGATAAAGCGCTACAGAGGGAATTCTGGCTGGGAAAAAGGAATTCCAACAAGATTGTAGGAACACATTCCCAACCCATCCCTAGGAAAAATGCCTCAGGGCACTCAGGTGGAGCAGCACCGTGTCCCTGCTTTGCTGTGGGATCAGGAGGGGCTCCTCAGGGAGAAGGCACTAGAAAACCACTCAGAAATCCCATTCCACATGCAAAAATCCTGGGGGAATTCTGCACAAGACCAGGACAGCAGCAGCGTCTGAGTTCCCTCCAATCCCAAACACCAGGAGACAAAACTTCCACAAGTTCTGCGTCCCCCAAAAGAAACCCTCCTGCTCCCACAGCCCCTGTTCATTGAGGGGCTCAAGAAAATTTCCTCAGATTAAACCAGGAAGAGCAGGATCCAGAGGGATTCCACAGCCACGATTTGGGATTCCCACAAAAAACGGCAGCCCAGGTCCAAGGGGGAAACTTCAGGAACGCAGCAGAATCCAGGGAAAGCTCCCAGGGCCTCAGCACTGAAATGGGCTCTCAGCTTTTGTCTATCCCGAGGGGACAGGAGGGAGAAGTGGGAATTCTGGCATGGCAGAGCTCAGGCTGGGTTTGCCCCATCCCTGGAGATGTCCAAGGCCAGGCTGGATGGGGCTTGGGGCACCCAGGGATGGTGGAAGGGGGTGGAAGGAGATGGGATTTAAGGGATTTAAAATCCCTTCCCACCCAAACCATTCCATAGCTCTGATCCACAGCATCCAGGTCGTTTTTCACCGGGATTTGAGGCCAGGACTGGTTTAGAGGATTGATAACAGAGAAAATTTCCCAGCAGCTCCTTCACTCCACAGAAATCCTGGATTTATTCTTTCCTGAAATCTCCCTCCTCAGCTCCAAGACATTTTCGGGATGGTTCAGCCACAGCCTCACTCAAAACAACATTTGAAGGGCACGGCAGAGCCAGCTGCACCCACACATCACGGGGGCACCAGAAACCACAAGAACACAACTTAACATGGAAAATATTCCAGCAAAACCACAGCTCTGCCGCTGGCAGCGAGGCTTGGACACGTTCTCCCCTCCAGTCTGGGGGAGCTGCACGTGCTGAGCTCCCTGAGAAGAAATCCAGGCTGAAGTTTGCAGGAGGTTTGGTTTGGGCTGGATTTTCCTTTCCTTTCGGGCTCATTGCTCCCCTCACGGCCTCTAACGACCTCCAGATTTCTTCCTGACGTCAGGGCAATATTTTGGTCTCTCCATTCAAAGGAATCCAAGACAGAACATTAAAAACCCATCGAGCAGAGCCAGTGGAGAAGGCAGGAAATGCTCCAGGTCTCCTGGTTCTCTGTGCCATATTCCAGGCTGGAAGCTGAGATCCATCCCCACAGGAATGTGTAGTGTAAGGCTTCCAGGCATGATCCTGGTGGCTGCTGACTCAGCCCTTTCCAGGGCTCCAGTCCTGGGTCTTGAAGGGAACAGAGACATGGGATGGCAAGGAAAAAGCATGGAATTGTTATGGAATCA